AATTATAATAATGTGTCAGAATAGGCTATAGGCGCAACTTGAGTCATAGTTTATTGGGGTGGGGAAATATAGCTCCGATTAAAAAATATGTGTGCTAACCAATATGGATTGTCGTCAATACATTTTTCGCAACGAACATTTCCACCTTTGAGCTATTAATATAAGTTTGAAATAAATTTTTAAATATAACGAAATATAAAATACAAATCCTAACTATATAATATYAACAAAAAAAATAATAATAATAATTTATAGTTTTATTACAATGTCTTAAATAAACAAAACTGTTCTCAATAAACAAGTTTTTACGGCTTTGTAAATGTAAATAAGAAAAAAAGATTCACTATTTCGGAGGCCTCAGCCTTTTTAGACTCACCCTTGCCGTCCACCCCCTAGTCGCAGCGCCACTGGCTACAGCACAATACAATATTAGAAAGTGTGCGCTCGCTTCTTTATACTTTAGTATTGCGCAAGCGCGGTATCATTAATAAATGCTTGTAGTATGTGATTGAGATGATGATTGGCACACAGGTGACGTTTTGCAAAGCGGAAGCGTCGAGTATGGTCTCAACACTAGAGCTCAACTAACACAAAATGTTATCGTTTCATCACGTGAGTTTTGTATAGTAGAAAAAAAATTAATAAACAAACAAAATTTGGACCTATGGTATATTAGTCAACATGCATGAATTAATAGCCAAGTTCAAAATTCACGATTGGCCGTCACCCAACAGCCACTAGACAGTCACGGTCCATTCGGAATATATTGAACTCGGGTCGTGCAGAAAACGAAATCGTTTCTCGTGACCTACTACCCGGGTAACCCACGGCGTCAGTATATTGCGAACGGGACTCATAGATAGACTTACCATCAGTGTGCTTCCATCATCATCAAAGCTATTACATATACCATTGTAGAACAAACGATAACATTTTTCCATCATAGAACGATACATTTTACGTCGAATGACCATATACATAATACTATAGCATGCGAGTAGTGGTAGTGAGTAGTATCTATCCATACCTTTATAGGTTCACCTATATTATAATATGATTTGTCTTATAATTTTACTTTTAAAAAACACACGGTGCGTGGAAATTTTTTTTAGATCTATCATAAAAAATATGGCATTACACCGAATAGATTTAAGTGCCGTTAATATTGTATGTCACTACTATATACTCGTATATTGAGCGCCGAGTGTCGACCGAGATATTATTATAATTATAATATGCATAAATGTCGATCGTTCCAGTTTTTCTGAGTAGTACTTGTAGCGTCCGTTTAAAATTAAATATGACCAGCCATCTGGTCAGTTAACTTACTGCTGTTTGGCACTTTGCCGGTCGTTTCGTCATTGGCTTCCTCATTTCGGATTTTTCGCGCTTTGGCTTCACCAGCGTCATAATAATGGATCAACTTTAGAGAGGAAAAAATTGATAAAAATAACTTTTAAGTTTTAGTTGTCGGCTGTCTGCCTATTCCGACGGTACCATAACTAGGTCGCTGTATTCGTCTAACTTAAATTTTTCAAAATAATCATAAAATAATAACAATAAATAAGATAAAATAAGATACAATAAAATACAATTTTTTTCATCATGTGTAAACGGAGATTTTGCTGTTGTTGCTGTTTTAAAAAACAAAAAGAAGAAGAAAATCTTCCAGGTTAGAAAAACACGTACTTACATATAGCGTTTTAAAGTTTTCGAAATTCATCATTATGGAAGAAGACAATTTTTACAATATTTTCAACTACATAATAAAGTCATGTTTGTATTGGSTCAATGTGTAACACTCAATATTAGGCTCATAATTTTTAAACCAATATTTAATTTTATAAAAAAAAATTTCAGGTACCTTATAGGTAACTTACAAATATGTATTTTTTGTATACGCCCATCTAATTAAAATAATTTTGTTTCAGTCAGACAAATAATATTTGTGACATTTTATTAACTTTTTAAATTTAATTTATGAGCACACGTTCGTCTCAGGTTTCAGTAATAATGAGTTAATTTATTTTATAGACATTTGTTGAATATGCGCTTAATTTTTACTTTATTAATGATAACTTCTCTACTAATATTATTACCATTTTTCTATTGGTTAGTTATTTTAGAATTTTTGTCCTAACTTTAAATGTGTTATTATAGAACAAAATGATAAATGGAAGTTTAAAAAAAGTAATACCTCAAGTTACTGATAATAACCTTCAATATGATCATATAAATCTCTCACGAATTCCTATGCATAGAATAAAAAATCACTTTTATAACAGAATATAAAAAATAGATGTTCAAAAATTTTAAAAACCAATAAAATTACGTTGAAATAACTGTATTAATAATAACTGTATCATTATAGAAATAAATCATTTTTCTTGCATAATTAATTCTATTGTTTCCTGTAATATAATTTAAAAATAAAATTTAGCCCTTCAATATCGTTTCATCTGCTTGCTTCTTGGAAATTATTCAAATTTAATACTGTGTTGTCCATTTTTATTAAACAATGTGTAATAATATTCAATAATATGTAATATAAAACAATCATTATTTCATGGGCAGTTAAAGCATGTATTCATTTTTAAAAGCATGTGCTTTTATAATTATTGTAAATTTAAAATTTTAGAAACACATTTTTTTGATTTATAGTAATGTTGGATTATTTATTTTATTTTGTATCGTTCTTAACTTATCGATTTACATTGTAATTTAAAATTTATTTTATTGAACAGGTGAGGAGACCATGATAAACGAACAGTCGTACAAGTATTTAACGGGAGAGGAAATGAAAGGTTTCGGCGACGAATCAGCTCCTATTGATGTTACGCGGGACGAGAGGTGTGACGCGAATACTGGTAAGGAAAACATGAGTATATATATCATTCTATGTGGCCAYATGTACCATATGGGTACTTGTACTGTGTTAGATGTTCAAAAGTTGGCCAGGGTACACATGTGACACATTTTATTAAAATTATCTTGTTGTTTACATTTTAGTGCCCCCCACATCCATTGACGAAGCAATCAGTCCACAGACCGTATATGACAGTTACAGCGGCCCCGTAGATAATGTCGACATCGTTAAATATCCACCTCACGTTGGGTAAGTAGATTGGAAATACATTTTTTTGACTACCGTTTAACAACGGCTAACAAAAACATCGTCAATTGTCTAACAAAATTGTTTATTGTTTTAATATGCGTGCTTTCGGACAGACGTTTACAATGGAAAACGTAAGGCTTTTAATATATATACATATATAGTAATAGTAATAGTAATACTTACCTTGTAATTTTTTAAAACCATACGTAGTTTTATATACCAGTAGTGATGTATTGAATGTTTTTGAATAAATATGTCATAGATATATAGTGAAACATTTTTAAAACATAGTCTTAGATATAGTTGGAATATACAATAATATAGAAAAATCTATAATAATGAAAACTGAAGAACAACTATTATAATATTATACCGACTACCTATAACGCTGTACATCATCCGATGAATCAGTCACCACACACTCATGCTGAATGATCGTCGACGTTGTTCAGCACTAGTTTTTGTTTTTTATTATTATATATAGTTTTTCAAAAAGAAAAATCATTTCACAAAATTACAGGTTTTTGGTGAGCTTCTTGGTAGACGCTCGTGGCGGAGCGATGCGTGGATGCCGGCACAGTGGTGTCCGCGTGATTGTACCGCCCCGACGAGCATCCATGCCTACGAGGGTGACTTGCCGATATTTAAGACGAGAAAAATTGGTGCACCCGCCACCGCTGATGGAAGGCGAGTCGTTGGCTAGCAGAATACTCGAACTCGGTCCTGTAGGGGCTAAGTTTTTGGGGTAATTATACCAAAATACGATAATAAGCGATATTATTATTATCTATTATATATTATGAAAACAGTGTCGGATTTAAAGGAAGCCGAGAGGACTCAGCCCTCCTCCAATGGCCTAAGTAAAGGCCCACTTACACGTAACGACTTATTGTACGTTTTATCGAATACAGAAATTATCACTGTATTTTGGACTATGCCCCCCTTCCAAAGTTCCAAAATTAAATCCTGCATTTGTCACTGAATTAATGAATAAAATATAATCTCGAATGGTATTCAACGATATTGCTTCTCATTTGCAGGCCCGTTATGATTGAAGTACC